ACTCCGGATGTGCTGACCCCTGCGATTTCCCCAAATGTGGGAAACTCGACTGCATAATTTGTGGTAGTGGGGGACTGCGTTCGCGCTTTCCCCTGGCTTTTTGTGGTGTCTAAAGAAAGAAATACGAAAAGCTAATTCTCATTTGGTTTCGCCTTCCGTGTCTCACTTCTTTTTACCGCAAGGGTTGGAGGAGGGTAGGAACAACGTGTCGCTCCTTTTCTGCTGCAGAACTAAAAGAGCGTCTGGCTATCGATGGCCGAACAGGCCTTCCCTTTCTGCTTTTTACGGAGGTTGCTCTATGGCCTGCAGTTTGGGGTTCTCACGCTCTGTGAAAACCTTCGTGTTTTTTCTCTTCCTCCTCAGTCACCTTTTAGAGTTTCTGGGATTCCTGTGCTACTGAGGAATGTGTTGTCACCTCAGAGGGCCTGGTGGAAACTTCGCAGACAAGAGCTCATCTTCGGGATCAAAGCAGGGCCTTTCAGGCTCTTAGTGCCCCCTTCGGTTGTAGACATAACACGCTGTAGGGGAACGGCTCTGCGGGCGCCCGGGTGCCCTTGCGCAGATTCATCGAGGCCCACAGGTCAGTACCGAGATCTCACCTGTCTTAGCGGAAATGCGCTGCCATCCTCTGGGTCAGCAAATCCGGCGTGCAATGGATAAGAAGATGGGACATTTGATGAGGAGCCGGGTCTAGTTTCCCTACTATCTCCTGTCGTTTCCATAGCTGGTCTTCAGACTTCACTTGAGTGGCAGTTTCCTTGTTTGTTTGATCGCTTCCACATCCTACACCCATTGCCCGGCAACGTTCTAGATAGCACCCCGACCCATCCCTCCCGCCCCCCAGCCGCTTCTTCCTATTTCTGCCGCCTGTGTCCTCCGCGTCCCTCTTTCTTCAGGCCCTCGCTTATCACCTTCATGGACGGAAAATACTTAGCTCTCTCTCAACCTGCGGTGTGCACCTGACACGCATCAGCACCCTGGCAGATTCCTTAATACCCTTCTAAAATGGCATTGTAAATTCATCTCTTTTTAACTCCCGCAAGTATCTCATTGGTTTTGTCCCTGCGCTACATGAACATGAATATTCCACTACACAAGAAAGCCCCAGGCCTGGTGATGGCGCTTCTGGGCACTTTGCCAGCCTCTCCCAGGGTGTTTTCTGACCCCACCCACATCTGATTCCTAATGTCCTGGTGAATAGAAACTCCCTGGCCCACACTGAAAAAACGGAGGACGGGGTCGGGGTGGGTGCCGGTGTGGTCGGGGAGGGGGCGGGGGTAGGACGGCCTATGGCGTCCCCTGGTGGCTACCCCGGGAATGGCACTCATAGATCCGCACGGCCCGAGAAGCCTCTGCCATTCCGACCAGAGGGCGGGTGTAGAAAACCGCGGCTCGAAAGAAACCCGAGTAGACCGCACAGGATGCCCAGCGAGTGTTCAGGACACTGCGAGTGGAAGCCGTATGCCCTACGGACTGATGCAGTTGGATGAAGAGGAGCCATTTACTTCCAACCCCAGCAGCAGGCATTGCCTTGCTCAAATATAAAATACATGAACCAAAACCAAAAGCAACCTTCAGTGCTTTGCTGATGAGCAAACAGGTTTTGAGAATGTTTAAGTAATGTCCCTTGTTTCCGGACTGTCATCACTAACGTATGCTTCGGATTCCTGATGGAGAAGTTTCTGAACAAAAAGCAGCCCACCAATCCAGTGGCTAAGAACTGCTTGGATATTGGTTTCCAGGCCCATCAAACATACCGAGGTTCTGACGAAGACATGGGCTTCTGTCTGCCTTTGGGAAGGCTGATTCCTCAGGTTAAAAAAAAAAAAATTAATTTTTCTTCTTGAAAGCTTAGACACGGTGTCCCTCTTTGCCAGAAAGTCTCATTCCTGGATAGTCCTGTCCCACGCTGGGGACGGGAGCAAACGAGCCGCCTCAGGAATTTTTAAGAGTGCCTAGAAGTCCAATGGAAAGGGCATTACAGCCAGGTGCCCTGGCTCACACCTGTAATCCCAGCACCTCACGGGGCCAAGGTGGGTGGATCGCCTGAGTCCAGGAGTTCCAGACCAGCCTGGGCAACATGGCAAAACCCCACCTTTACTGAAAATACAAAAATTAACCAGGTGTGGTGGTGTGCGCCTGTAATTGCAGCTACTCAGGAGGCTGAAGCATGAGAATCATTTAAACCCTGGAGACGGAGGTTGCAGTGAGCTAAGATTGAGCCACTGCACTCCAGCCTGGATGAGGTGACAAAGCAACACTCTTTGGATAAAAGGGCATCATAGAGTGGCCAGAGAGAGAGACAGAGAGTTGCCTCAGTTGTCTCCAGCTGCTGTGACTTATTGAATCATCTCTAGTCTTGAGAATACCATGAGATCAGCAGAGCACACCTTAAACCCACGAAAAAGCTGTGTAGTTGTCAGCCAAAACACCACTTGTCTGTTATTTATACTAGAAAAGACCAGGGGAAAGCGCGAACGCAGTCCCCCACTACCACAAATTATGCAGTCGAGTTTCCCACATTTGGGGAAATCGCAGGGGTCAGCACATCCGGAGTGCAATGGATAAGCCTCGCCCTGGGAAAACCACCTTCGTGATCATGGTATCTCCCCTGCCAGGTAAGTATGAGTGCATTCGCCTCCGCCCCGACACAGCCTCATACGCCTCACCCTTTACACGCACGGTCACTTGCCGCGGGCACCGCGTCCCCAGCCCTCCTAGCCCAGGCACAGAGCTGGGACTCTCTGTCCCACCAGCGGTCGAGGACTCGCTCCCATGGCGGGGAACTCCTTCGTCGGGAAGCAGCAGGTGGCCAAGCAGCAGCCCCTGCGCCGCCTCATCTGCATAGAAGTCGCCCCCTCCGTGATGTCACCGACAGTGTCTTTCCCAGTGACTGTCTACACTTCCGCTCCACCCTCCGCCACTCAGCCGACCAACCCGCTGCCGGAGCCGGCGGGGAAGTGACGTCGGCCTCTCCCTCCCTTCCCTCCCGCCCTGGTCCTCTGGGGCGGTGCGCCGAGACCCCGCAGCTGGTCTTCCCCAAAAAAGCGACTGCTTAACCTCTGCCCTGTGGCGCCCAGCTGGAAGCCTGTGCACCGTCCTCAAATAATGGATTTTAATTCGCAGACTAGAACGTTTAGGATTACAGGAAACCGGTTCTTTTCAAACATAGTTATCTTTGTGAAGTAGCATTGAGCTTGAAATTGGAAGCCCTTGCATATCAGAGAAATCATATCTATGAAACTAGAGGGGCTGCTCAGATGACGGCACACCATCCGTCCTTCCTGATTTTACCAGCAGTAATGTCATAAAGACAATTGTCCAATTTCGTGAATCTGGTAGGTTTGGTTTCTTGTTTTTGTTTTGTTTTGTTTTCAAATACAGTATTGTACAAAGAAAAAGCAGAGTGTAGTTGCTGTCTCAATGTAATGCCTCTCTGGGCCTGAGGATTTGAAAAGGCTCACATTCCTCATATAAAAGTTTTTCCTCATTTGCCCTTTAAATTAAACTTTTCTTGAAAGTGTTGACGATCAAAAGCAGGGCCAATGTTTTTCCTTGCCAGAAAGACTCATTCCCAGATAGTCCCGTCCCACACGGGGAGCCGGGGAGGAAAGGAGTCCTCTCACTGATGAAGTTTTAACAGCACCCAGTAGCTGAATTGGTGTAATCACAGAATGGAAAAAAAAGAAAAAGGGAGAGAGATCTTGGTCAGTTCCATAGTTGCTGTCACTTGTTGAAACGTCTCTAGTCTTCAGAGTACCGTGAATTTAGTTTCTCAGAAGAGGTAAGCAATGAGAAACATATAACATTAACAACTTGAGTAGTAGAAATTTAATGCACACAACAATGATAATCACAAAGAGAATCTGTGTGGCAGAACAGCAAGGGCACCTGCTCCATTAGGCAGCCAGCTGAAAACAGCAGGGAAACATCAAATCCCAGTTCTTCTTCAGGGATTTCTTATAGCCAACTGGCTTCTTTCTGATTTTTTCAAGAGGTTCTACTTCGTGGGAAGTATTTATGTATATGCAACAGAAGGTATTTGCCACCCACATACATCTCCCTGCTCAGCTAAATGTATCACTAAAGCGATACGATTATCTAGTACAACCTTAGCCAGTGAATAGCTTTTTGTTGGGCTGCAAAAGAGGCCGCAGTTTTATCAGCAATATTTTCCTTTCTTTTTCTTTTTCTCTCAGAGACAGCATCTGACTCTGTGGCCCAGGCTGGAGTGCAATGGCACCGTCACAGCTCACTGCAGCCTCGAACTCCTGGGCTGAAGTGATTCTCCTGCCTCAGCCCCCGAGTCACTGGGATAACAGGCCAGAGCCGCCATGCCTTGTTTTCATCAGCAATGTTCCCTAAGGTTACAGAAAGATTTGTAACCCTGGGAAGAAAGACTCCCTTCAAGCAAAAGTGTTCTCGCCATAAAATGCAAGGAGTTATCTTCCTGATGGCCAGGCAGATAATTCTCAGGTTTTGCCCCAATAGAATCTCTATCTAAAATAGAGTGGTGGTCAGGCCTGGTGAGAAGTTTGAGGGAACTTGCCCAACGTTGGGTTTCTTCAGAGCCATATATGTATTCAGATATCCTAAAAGACATTGCCCTCCATCACTCCATGTCCTTAGACATGTATAGGACCTGGATGGTGATGTCCTCCAGACAAAATAAATGCGGGTGCAGAACAGGAAAGTGTATTATCATTTGAGTACATCAGCTTTTGGGCATTTTAACCCATGGGTCAGACACGTTAGAGCAAGAGTGTGGGCGACGGAAAATCCGCCAGGGAGTCTTGGCCAGCAAGAGGGTCCCGACCTGAAAGAGGGGGGGCGCAGAAATAAAGAGAGACAGAAAAGCTGGGGTCTGGAGGGCTGAAAAGGCAACGCCTAAACAGCCAATTTATTTTTGTCCAGGGTCTCAATATATACCTTAAGATCAAAGGTGTTTACACAATCAACAATAAGAGGAATGGAAATTTACAAAATATAGGATCACAAAAACAATCTTAAGTATGACATTCAAGGATCATAAAAGTGGGCAGGTGGTATGCTTTATCTGTTTTTACCAAAAGACACTTGTGAATAACAAAACCCAAGAGTCACAAGCTAAGCCATAAAGTCATTATCTAGGGCTCAAGGCGGTCATGCGGATAAGGTAAAACTTCTTGAAAAGTAAAGTCGTAAAGGTCATGCAGAGGCCTAGTGGAGACATAATGTCTGACAAAACCACACAACCCTTGCCCAAGTGGCACTGTAGTCAGAAGTAGAAACGTTTGCAACATCAGTCGTTTCTTAGCTCCTTCTTTCCCATAGCTCGACTGCCTCCAGCAGGAAACTGTGTTTTGGGCTCAAGCTCACCGTCTGGTGAGGCCCACACATTAGGGGGCCTTACACGGGAGCGATCCCCACACAAGAGGGCAGGTTGACAGCAGGAGGGAGTGTGTTCCTTTTAATTTCCCAATAGCACAGTCTTGCTTGCCACAGTCTTTTCAGAGTGAGGTGACACTCTGAAGTTGTTGCTGTTTGTTTCTGTGGGTTTTGTGTGTTTGTTTTTGAGACAGGGTCTCACTGTCACCCAGGCTGGAGTGCAGTGCCATGATCAGGGTTGACTTCTGCCTTGGCCTCACAAATTCAAGCAATCCTCTTACTCATTCTCCTGAGTAACTGGGACTGCAAGCGTGTGACACCACACCCTGGGGTGTAAACTGGGGTTTGAGGTTTTAGCTCGCTCCCTAACGGACAGGCTCCCTTAATCTTCTGGAATACAGATTGTCTTCATGATTATCATTCTTGTGTGCATTATATTTCTACTACCTTGCTAATTTGTTTTTCTTCTTTTTCTTTTTCTTTTTTCTTTTTGTAGAGACAGGGTTTCATCATGTTGCCCAGGTCGGTGTCAAACTCCTAGGCTTCGGGGATCCACCCACCTTAGTGTCCGGTGTCCCTCAGTGTTGGGATTACAGGTAGAAACCACCGTGCCTGGCCTGAACTAGTGTCTTTTACTAAGGCAACTAAGTATTTAAGCCATTGAGAAAAGCACAGTTTATAAGGGAATCATTCTGGTGCCCTTAAAGGCTAGTGTCAGCCATTTCAGATACTGTTTAAAGAAGCCTCCATCGAGTGTCCCTGCAGAACCACTGTTGCCCGCCTCTCCGTGCCGCACCCGACAAGCATTGCGTTGCTGCTGTGTCCCACTGGCTCCACCACGTTGAAGAAATTTGACAAGAAGGACGAGGAGTCAAGTGGAGGCTCCAACCCACTCCAGCACCTTGAGAAGACAGCCATACTCCAAGAGGCCCGTGCATTTAATGAAACTCCCATCAATCCTCGGAAATGTGCCCACATCCTCACCAAGATCCTTTATCTCATAAACCATGGGGAGCATCTGGGGACCATGGAAGCGACCGAAGCCTTCTTTGCCATGACCAAGCTCTTTCAGTCCAATGATCTCACACTCTGTCGGATGTGCTACGTGACCATCAGGGAGATGTCTTGCATCGCAGAGGATGTCATCATTGTCACCAGCAGCCTAAGAAAAGACGTAACTGGGAAAGGAGACAACTATCAGGGCCCAGCTGTGCAAGCCCTCTGCCAGACCACCGACAGCACCATGCTGCGTGCTACTGAGCGCTGCATGAAACAGGCCATTGTAGACAAGGTGCCCATGTCTGCAGCTCTGCCCTGTGTCTTCCTTGCACCTGCTGAAATGCAGCTTTCACATGGTCAAGTGCTGGGTGAATGAGGCTCAGGAGGTGGCATCCAGTGATAACATCATGGTCCAGCACCACGCACTAGGGCTCCTGTACCACGTGTGTAAGAATGACCGCCTGGCTGTCAATAAGATGACCAGCAAGGTCACCCGGCATGGCCTTAAGTCTTCCTTTGCCTACTGCATGATGATCCAGGTGGCCAGCAAGTAGCTGGAAGAGGAGGATGGCAGCCATGACAGTCCACTGACTTCATCGAGCACTGCTTGTGCAACAGGCATGAGATGGTGGTGTGCGAAGCTGCCTCGGCCATCGTCAACCTGCCAGGCTGCAGTGCCAAGGAGCTGCACCAGCTGTGCCAGTGCTCCGGCTGTTCTGCAGCTCACCCAAGCCTACTCTCCATTATGCGGCTGTTCGCACCCTCAATAAGGTTGCCATGAAGCATCCGTCAGCTGTGATAGCTTGCAGGCTGGATCTGGAGAACCTGGTCACAGATTCAAACCGCAGCATTGCCACGCTGGCTGTCACCACACTCCTTAAGACAGGCAGTGAGAGCAGCATCGACCGCCTTATGAAGCAGGTGTCCTCCTTCGTGTCAGAGATCTCGGATGAACTCAGCGTGGTGGTTGTCCAGGCCATCAGTGCCCTGTGTCGGAAGCATCCTCACAAACACGCCAGCCTCATGAACTTCCTGCTCACCATGCTGCGGGAAGAGGGTGGCTTTGAGTACAAGCGCGTCATTGGGGACTGCATCGTCAGCATCACTAAGAACTCAGGGAGCAAGGAGACAGGGCTGTCACATCTGTGCGAGTTCATTGAGGACTGCAAGGTCACAGTGCTGGCCACCCGTATTCTGCATCTCCTGGGCCAGGAGGGACCCAAGACCACCAACCCTCAAAGTACATCTGCTTCATCTATAACGGAGCGGTCTTGGGGCATGAGGAGGTCCGGGCAGGTGCTGAGAGTGCTCTGGCCAAGTCTGGAGCACAGAATGAAGACATTCCCCAGTATCGTGGTGTTGCTGAAGAGGTATGTGATGGATGATGACAATGAAATAAGGGACTGAGCCACCTTGTCTAAAAGTCCTGGAGTGAAGCAGAAGGCCCTCAATGCGGGCTATGTCCTAAATGGTCTGACTGTGTCCATCCTGGTCTGGAGAGGGCTCTGCATCAGTACACACTAGAACCATCAGAGAAAGCTTTGACCTCAAGTCTGTGCCCCTAGCCACTGCACCCATGGCAGGGCAGAGAATGGAAAGCAGCCCCATCACTGCAGACAGCCTGATAAAGTGGCAGCTACCAGGAGATCTTCCAGGAGCAGTTGGCGGCAGTGCCTGAGTTCCAGGGACCTGGGCCCGTCTTAAAGTCCTCGCCTGAGTCGATGGCCCTCACTGAGTCAGAGACCAAGTATGTCATCGGCTGCACCAAACACGCCTTCACTGACCACATGGTGCTTCAGTTTGACTGCAGGAACACATCCAGTGACCAGACCCCAGAGAATGCCACAGTGCAGATGAGCCCACTGAGGCCTATGAGGGGCTCTGTTATGTGCCTGCCCAGCGCTTGCCCTACAACCAGCCTGGGACCTGCACACTGGTGCACTGCCCAAAGGAGACCCCACAGCTGTGGCCTGCACATTCAGCCGCATGCTGAAGTTCACTGTCAAGGACTGTGCTCCCACCACTGGGGAGACCGACGACGAAGGCTATGAGGATGAGTATGTGCTGGAAAGTCTGGAAGTTACTGTAGCTGATCACATTCAAAAGGTCATGAAACGACTTCGAAGCAGCCTGGGGTGAGGTGGGGGATGAATTTGGGAAGGAGGAAATGTTCACCTTGTCTACCATCAAGATACGTGGAGAGGCTGTGGATAACATCGTGAAGTTCTTGGGAATGCACCCTTGTGAGAGGTCAGACAAGGTGCTGGATGACAAGAACACCCACACGTTGCTCCTGGCTGGTGTGTTCTGGGGTGGTCGTGACATCCTGGTGCACTCTCAGCTGCTGCTTTTGGACACAGTGACAATGCAAGCGACAGCCAGAAGTTTGGAGGAGCTGCCAGTAGACATCATTTTGGCATCTGTGGGCTAAGGGGCCAGCCTGCACAGGACCCTTCCCCAACACTACCTGGAAGTTGTGCCTTCCTCATGAAACTGCTGGAAACCCCTCCCCAAGCTTCTGTATTCAAAAACAATTAGGAATCATTGCAGATATGTATCTTTTATTCTGCCTCCCTGTCCAGGGGTGACTTTTCTTTTTTTTTTAATAGGGGTTGATTTTAACTTGTCCTAAATCTTGCTATCCTCCCTTCCTGGAAAGGGACATCATAAATGAATAAAACATTCTCAACTCTTCTTGAATTTATCCCCCAAGAGATCATCTTATCCCTGTAATAAATCAGCATGTATTTATTTAAAAAAAAAAAAAAAAGGAGAAAGAATTCTCCATCAAATGTGGTGCCTCATATCTGTAATCTCAGCATTTTGGGAGGCTCAGACAAGAAAATCACTGTGCCCAGGAGTTCAAGACAAGCCTGGGTAACAGATGAGAGAGAATCCTCATCTATACAAAAAACCAAAATATAGCCAGGCGTGGGGACACACACCTGTGGTCACAGCAGCTACTGCAAAGGCTGAGGTGGGAGGATCGCTTGAGCTCGAGAGATGGAGGCTGGCCGGGCCATGATCCTGCCATTGCGTTCCAACCTGGAAGGCAGAGTGGGACCCTGCTCCAATAAAGACACGGGTTCTCAAACCACTCAGACTGTTTGGAAATGGTGGTGTTGTTGTTGTTGTTGTTTGGTTTTTGTTTTTCTTTCTTTTTTTTTTTTTTTGAGACAGAGTCACTCTATCTCCCAGGCTGGATTGCAGTGGCAGGATCTTGGCTAACTGCAACCTCTCCCTCCTGGGTTCAAGTGATTCTTTTGCTTCAGCCACCTGGCAAATTTTTGTATTTTTAGTAGCTACGGGGTTTCACCATGTTGGCCAGGCTGGTCTCGAACTCCTGACCTCAAGTGATTTACCCACCTTGGCCTCCCAAAGTGCTGAGATTACAGCCATGAGCCACCACACCTGGCTCTCAAATCATTTTAAGTAAGAAAAGACAGCTTTGTCTGACTTTTAGTACATTGCTGAATTATCCCCCAATCTACATTTTTAGGAAGGACCTGGGGAATGGCAACACAGTTATTTGGCCAAAATACAGACCCTTTCACGTCCTTCTTCAGTCTGTTTTTGAAAATCCTTCCATTTTGCCTTTTGTATCCAGTTTAGTGGCCTTGCCTTCTTACACCCGCACATGAATTAATTGATGAAGGTCAGAATATTTGGGCTCAAAGGTTTCAACAGTTAAGTCAAATTTTCTCCCAAACCCTATAGGATCTTGGAGACTGCTTTAGAAACAGAAGGGGAAAATGTATTTACATTTAGACGAGGGAAGTCTTATATAACATTTTAATTCACATTATGGTGAAGCGGAATACACAGTGGTAGGCTCCCCTCTTCCTGTGGGAATTACCTTGAAAGGGGCTGTCAGAACAGAAGTTTCAGGGAAGGGGCCAGAGTCCTGGGGACTCTCCTCAGGGGACGGTGATGGAAGAAGAGGCAAGGCAGGACAGGAGGGCTCAGGTGAGGGAGACTATGCAGGTGCAGGGCTGGAGGAGAAGGAGCAGGTGGAGGAGAAAGAGACAAAGCCTCCTCAGTATTTTTCAAGTCAGAAAAAGTCTGCTTACTGCCTTCGGTTTAATCCTCAATGGAGTCAATTTTCTCAGAACTTCTTTTAGAAATTTCTATGTATCATTGGAAGTAAGACTCCCATATAATTTGTCTGGTTCTAAAACCAATTTTTTTTTTTTTTTTTTTTAGACAGGGTCTCACTGTGTCATCTAGACTGGAGGGCAATGATGTGATCTTGGCTCACTGCAGCCTCCACCTCCAAGGCTCAACTGATTGTCCTGCCTCAGCCTCTCAGGTAGCTGGGATTACAGGCACACCCCACCACTGCCTGGTTAATTTTTGTATTTTTAGTAGAGATGGGGTTTCACCATGTTGTCCAGGCTGGTCTGGACTCCTGACTTCAAATGATCCACCCATCTCGCCCTCCAGAAGTGCTGGAATTACAGGCGTGGGGCAGCATGCCCAGCCTAAAACCAAATATTTCTAATTGTCCACACTAATACAATATTTTAGGCATTTCAAAAAGATCCCCATTTTCTCCATTCTGCTCATGACTTTTTCTGGTTAGGCGGATCCTGTTTCTTGGATATTTACAAGAGGACGATTCATAAGTGTTATACAGAAGCCCAGCTGGTGTTTCTAAAGGTGGTTGTTTTTTCACAGCGTGCTCAGAATTTGAAGCTTGATTTCCCGTAATTCAGAGCTTTTCAAAGATAAGCAAGGCCCGAGACGTGTTTTGGGTCACAGTGTGCTGATTATGAAGTCACTCCTACAGATGTCACCTGAGTCATTTATCTCTCTCTCAGTGGCTCCCACTGTTTCTAACCACTAGATGGTCACATAGTGAATATGCCACAGGGGACCCGTCCCACAGATACCATCCCGGAAGAGCAGGAAAGGGGATTCATGGAGATATTCTCCGACAGGGAGTGCCCTGTGAGGCCGTCTTTGCCTGGTGAGTAGTGACCCTGTTACCTCTGCAGAGTCCCCGGTCACTTGGAGCACTTGAATGGGTCAGCGGGAACAGATCACTTCTTTTCTTCAGGGTTAAGAACTGACAGGAGCTCGTCACAAATGAAAAGCTAAGTTCGAATGTTCAAAAAGGCATGCCACATAAAGGGAAACCACCAGTGCCTACCTGGTGCTTTGTCATTACAGGATACTGCCAACCAACTTTCCAAAGTTTTTGAATTATTTATACTTCTGCCAGAAATAAGTAGGAGATTCCCGTGCCCTCGTTCTGCCAAAATTTGGGAATATGGGTCTTTTTTCAAAGTCAAGTTTAACTGGGTGCAGTGGCTCATGCCTGTAATCCCAGCACTTTGGGAGGTCCAGGCGGGTGGATCACAAGGTCAGGAGTTTGAGACCAGCCTGATCAACATGGTGAAACCCTGTCTCTACTAAAAATACAAAAAAAAAAAAAAAAAAAAAAAAAAATTAGCCGGCCGTGGTGGCATACACCTGTAATCCCAGCCACTCAGGAGGCTGAGGCAGGAGTATTGCATGAACCCAGGAGGTGGAGGTTGCAGTGAGCCGAGATAGCGCCATTGCACTCCAGAGTGGCCAACAGAGTGAGACTCCATCTCAAAAAAAAAAAAACCAGTCAAGTTTATTGAGGTATAATTAAAACTCAGCAGCATTACATTATGCACATTGTTTTCATGACATTCTATCTTTGCAAAGCTGGCTTTTGACGGTAGCTCTGATTAAAAAGCTGGTAGCAAATGAAAACTTCAGTATGTGACAAAGAATGAAGGTGGCCGCTTGAGAGCGTTTGAGAAGCTATGAGGTGCACAACACCGAGGCATGTTATTTTAAAATGTCAAAATATTAAAAACAACAAATGACTTGAGTGAACATTTACAAAATTCCCAAGAGTTAAGAGAATACATGGCCACGCGTGGTGGCTCACGCCTGTAATCCAAGCACTTTGGAGGCCAAGGCGGGCGGATCACCTGAGGTCAGGAGTTCAAGACTAGTCTGACCAACATGGTGAAACCCCATCTTTAAAAAAAAAAAACAAACAGAGAACACATAAGAATACCCACAGCACCAGTGGCATACCTACAACATACAGAAATCTATCTGAACCCAGCAAGCAATGGCATTCTCCAAGTGAATTAATGAAGTGAGAGACAACCAAAGGCAATCAAAATTATCAACTCCATTTCATATTCGTCATTAATTTTTAAATTAACTATATATCATAAAATTACAAATTGAGCTGACATATAATAATAGAGAATGATAGTGTTACATATTAGATGATATCTAAAAGTATTTACCCAGGCACCCTAAGTGGAATAATTGAGTCTTCTGGTTTATAGAGTCATAAAAATTAACTCCATTCTAAAGATTTTACCTACTTACTTTATAACTGAGTCCAAAGCTCATATCTCTTTGCTGCATTACAGCCAATAATTTGAGAGACAAAGTGTAGGGGCAGGGAAGGTGACTGTATTCCAGAGAGCCGCCAAACTGGACAGATGGTGAACTAATATCCTAAAGAACCAACTTAAGTTAATATGGATTTCAGGCCCTTTGTATGTTACAGAAGTGAGGAAGAAGGAGGTTGAGGTGAAGGGGTCTGATAATGACAGGCTTATGGGCTGCAGTGAGAGCCCAAGGCGGTGGTGAAAATTCTTTGTCCTTTGCCAGGTCACAACGCTCTTATAAATCTTCAACATAACACTGTTTCTTGTGTATACAACCTCTTTATCTTCTCAGGAGTTAGTGTTTCAGGAAGGGTTTTTTTTTTTTTTTTTTTTTTTTGTCAGGGAGCCACACTACCTCTACCCA